TGTGCTGTTTCCCGCTCCCAGCCTGGGCAGCGGCTGTGCTGGCTGCCTGGAAACCACTCCACCAAGCCCTAGCTGACTCTTCCATTTCTTTGCAAGTTGCAACTGCATGTTAATCCTCTCTGTGTCCCCAGAGCCCATCACGGCTGCTCAGGGGGTGCTTATAAAAAATTGACCGAGGCAGGCCTCGTGGTGCAAGGGGCTAGGCTGCTGCGTGGAACACCTGTACCCCATTTCAGAGTTCCAGTCCGAGTCCCGGACACTCCACTTCGGACGCAGCTTCCCGCTTAGTGCATCCATGAGGCAGCAGATGAAGGCTCAAGTGTGTGAGCCCCCGCCACCCCAGGTGGGGGACCTGGATGGGTTCCAGGCTCCTGGCTTCAGCCTGGCTCCGCCCTGGTGGTTGGAGGCATCTGGGGAGTAAACCAGTGGAAGGAAGATCGATCTCTCTCTAACTCTCTACTCTCTCTCTCTCCTTGCTCTCGATCTCACTCTACCTTTTTTTTTTTAATAATTTTTTAAATTTATTTGACAGAGTGGACAGTGAGAGAGAGACAGAGAGAAAGGTCTTCCTTCCGTTGGTTCACTCCCCAAATGGCCACCACGGCCAGCACTGCGCCAATCCGAAGCCAGGAGCCAGGTGCTTCCTCCTGGTCTCCCATGCGGGTGCAGGGCCCAAGCACTTGGGCCATCCTCCACTGCACTCCCGGGCCACAGCAGAGAGCTGGACTGGAAGAGGAGCAGCCGGGACTAGAACCGGCGCCCATATAGGATGCCAGCGCTGCAGGCAGAGGATTAACCAAGTGAGCCATGGCACCGGCCCCTCCACCTTTCAAGAATATGAAAATAAACAAGCAGTTTAAAAAATTTTTTGTTGAAGGACAAATGGAAGGCAGAGTAGGGAGAGCAGAAAGTCAGATAGTTGGTGCCCAAGGCAGAATTTGTGTGTCGGAGACGCCCTCCCCTTTCTGCCCATCACCAGCTATATATGACCTTGGGCTGGTCCCTTGTCCCTGGGTCCTGCTTTCCAAATCCACACAGCTAGGGGCTGGCGCTGTGGCGTAGCGGGTAAAGCCGCTACCTGCCACAAGAGAATCCACCCCATATGGGTGCTGGTCCATGTCCTAGCTGCTCTACTTTCCATCCAGCTCCTTGCTGATGGCCTGGGAAAGTAGCAGAGGATAGTCCCACGTGCTGGGGCCCCTGCCACTCATGTGGGAGACCCGGATGGAGCTCCTGGCTCCCGGTTTCTGCCTGGCCGGGCCCTGGCTGCTGTGGCCAGCTGGGGAGTGAACCAGCGGATGGAAGACCTCTCTCTGTCTCCCTCTCTGTCTCTGTAATGCTGATTTTCAAATAAATAAAGAAACAAACCCATGAAGCTAATGAAACCGCTTTCCTGCTGGGAGTGGGAGGGGCCGAACCTCAACAGATGCCATGGTCCACCTCTGTCCCAGGTCCCTGCTCTCCTGGCCCCCCTCCCCTACCCAAAGCCACCCTGCCCCACCCTGGCCACCCCAGATACCCTACACCTACCTCCCTCCATTCCCACTACAAAACAGGGGGCCTTTCCCTAAGGGACAAAGCGACGGCGGTTTTCTCTTGGGCTCAAACAGCTGAGTGACAGTTAGGCTCCAGGCGGGGCAGGGGCAGAGGCCGGGGGCTGGCGGGCCCTGCTCTTAGCGGCTGCACATCTGCCAGGTGCTCAGCCAGGGGATCCCAGCTCCCATGGCTGAATGAGCAAGGGCCATCAACCATTCCAGGCACACTCCCCGTGTCAGGAGGAAGCTGGGACCCCATCATGGGTGCCCAGCCCGGGGTCCAGCACTACAGCCCCTCTCACAGTCAGCCAAAGCTGCTCGGTTGCCAGCGCCCACCTGTCTGTGGACTGCAGAAGGGGGCGTGGCCCAAGCAAAGGTGAGCTTGAGACGCAGCTCCCTGCCTGATGCTCACTTTTCTTGCCAGGACCTCTCCTTTAGACCCCTCACATCCATGGTGCCAAGCACACAGGCCGTTGCCACCTTCCTCTTCAGTTAGATCCCCTGCTAACTAAAATACTCTTCTCCCTGTGTTCCTGACAAACTCCTACACACCCCTCAAAGCCCTGTCCCAAAGGGCTCTCCTCTGGGACTCCCCAGCCAGAGGCAGCCGCCCCTTGTTTGGCTCCTCCCACAGCACCCCCAGCACAGCATCAGGTCCATGGGTTGGGGTGGGGGACACCCAAGACCCAACACTCAGTAAGCGAGTTGTTGAAAGCATCTGGAAGCATCTGTAATCAAGCTGGGGCTGAGTTTATCGGAGCTGCTGCCAGCCCCCTGGGCCTTCCCCTCCCTGCCACTTCTTCTCCATCTCGCAAAAAATAGCCCTGAGACCTAATTTCAGCTAAACCTTCAAACACGACTCTCCACTTTCAACTTCCCGAGGAGGGATCAATGGGCTGTCAGGCTTCCCAGAGCCCTCGCCACCTCCCGTTCCCCCACGCGCTGCCGGCGCCCCTCAAGGTCGACAGGAGGGGCTGGGGGCAGAGCAAGGAGACAGGGAGGGAGGGGCTGGGAAGGCGAGGGCTGGGGGACTCGCGGGGACATCAGAACCCGTCCTCACCGCCCGGCCCCATATCAGCCACGCCTCTAAGAGCAAGCAGCAGGTGGAAGGTGCGGCCCCAGCGCTGCCGCCACGGGTCCTGGGCCCCATGGCAGTGGGAGGCGCCTGTGGAGCCCCTGAGCCCAGTGCTCCCAGGTCTGTGCAGACTCGGGGCCCACGCCTGAGGCCTCCCTCCCTCCCCCATAGAAGACAGAGCTGGCTGGAGGGCCAGAGATGAGCAGGAGGGCTCTGTGGACCCTCAGCCCCCTCCCCCAGCCTCCCAGCCCCGTCCCACCCGGTGGGAGGAAGCTGGACTAGCCTTGCAGGAAGGTTCCAGATCCTTCTCAGGCCACAAGGCTGGTGTGGGGTCGTGTGGGGCCTCAAACCCAGGTCATCTGGCTCAAAAGCCCATCCCTCAGCTAAGCAGCCCCTGTATGTGCAAACACCCTGGCCCTCATGGCACACAGCGGGAGACCCAGGCTCTCCCAGGGCCCCATGGTGTCCAAGAGGCGGAGCTGAGGCTGGGAGCGAGCCCCAGGTGCCCTGTGGGACAACCACGGGCAAGGGCACTGTGGGGGCTGCAAACAACGCAGGCTCAGAGACTGTGGAGACCACAGACATGTCCAGTCCTCTCGGCAGAGATGGACAGAGGAGCCCAGAGACCTCCGATCCTAACCCACTGATTCTGCCCAGGGAGCACCCAGGGAGAGGCGGTGGCATCCGTCACCCGGGATTCCGATGACAGCGCAGGTGGCACTCATCAGCTCTACCTGTGGCGTCTCCCCTGCCTCCCCCAGGCTAAACCATGTTCCCCGGGCGCCCTCCAGGGCCTACACAGAGCAGCAGTCGGCTGAGCATGCGACTGAGCGAGAGCCGGGGCTGGCGGTGAGGACAGCAGGTGCATTTGCACCCCCCTCTCCGGCATGGGCTCGAGGCCCGGGCCTGGCTGCTATCTGACCTCCCCTCAAACACTGCGTTGCCCGTCCACCACCCCACCCCTGCCCAAACCCCTACTCCTCTGCAGCCAAAGTGGGAAACTCGACTCTGAGGGTCTGAGGTCTTGAGCACCCATGGGTGCGTGGGACCTGGGCGGGCCCATTCATAGGGAACCTCCGCCTCAGCTCGCCACGGCTTCCTGATGAGGACATGGACTCAGAGGGGCTGAGCGACTGGCAAGGTCACATAGCCATGGAACCGCCATGATTGGAACCCAGATCCGCCCCCCCACCCCCGCCAGGCCTGACCACCCAGCCCCAGAGGGAACCTGGACTCACCCTTTCCTTAACTGCCACACAGAGAAAGACCAATGGTGCCCAGAGGACAGGCAAAAACGCCCAACAGTCCTGGCGCCCGTGTCCGGCTGTCACTCAGGTGCACGTGACACCAGGTACACGAACTCCCCTCTCCAAGCCTCAGTGTGCTCATCTGTGAAATGGGGCTGCCATGAGGAATGGGTAAAATGGCTTCGGTGTGCACGTCCCCACCCCACAGACCCCACGCAGACAGGCGAGGGCGGGCGTTGGGCCCTGGGCAGTCCAGGTCCCCCCAGGCGGTGCCCATGCCAAGAAAAAGCAAAGACACAGCGGCAGGCAAGCGCCAGGCCAAGCCAGCAATGATAGAGCTGCCAATTACAGTGGCTTCAAGGCGTGAGGCTGCACCCGTTAGGGCCGTGAAAGAAGGGAAAACAGCAGAACAAGCGATGCTGGTGACAGACCACCTGCCTCTGCACCTTCACAGCCGCTGCCCCTGCCACCTGGAACCCCCTCTCTCACTGTCCCCACCCACCCAGTCGCTACTGAGTCTTTGAGACACAGCTCCACAGTCAGTCCTGCAGGATGCCTACCGGGCCCTCTGGGAGCAGTCAGTCCCTCCCAGGTCCTCTGTCCTTCCACCAGAACCCTCTCACCTCTGCGCATCACAGGGCAGGCCTCAGTCCAAATAGCACCTCCCACTCACACCACCTCCAGGAAGCCCCCCTGGGTTTCTCCCATCCTCAGCTGGAAGAGAGCGTTATTTTATGCGCCACCAAGAAGGATTAAACTGTGACAGGCCACGTGCTGTAACCCGCGAGGCCTCACAACACACGGAAACAAAACCCGCGCGCCCTAGGGGTGGAGCAAGCGCGGTGTGCCGGCCACTGAGCTAACCTGACGCTGGACTCCCCCCCCCAACCTGGGGCCGGCCCAGCTCTGGGCCTTCCACCTGCCCCCTCCCTCACAGGACAGGACCCCCGCGCCCCCGCCCCGTGTAGCCCCCCGGGGCAGGGCCGAGCCCCAAAGAGGGGAGCAACCGAGGGAGCGGATACCTAGGGCAGGGGAGGCTGGACGCGCTCCCGGTCCATGAGGCTCCAGGAGCGGGGCCCGGGGGGTCGCGGAGCTGCACCGCGGGCCAGGCGGTGATGGTGGTGGTGACGCAGAGATAGTTACCGTGACCCGGAACGGGGTGGCGGCCGAGGGCTCCATGCTGGGGCTCTTCTCGGAAAGGCTGCCGGGCAGGCTGCGCCGGGAGCCCGGCCTTTCTTGGGGCGACTCTGCCGACGGAGGGAGAAGAGAGGTTCAGTGAGAACAATCAGGCAGCCGTCACATGCTCCCGCCACCCCCACCTAGGCCGGAACAATAGACAAAGCAGTCTCCCCCCAAAACGGTGCGGCCGCTGTGGCAGGTCTGGAGGTTCCTACAAAACTGAAAGTCAGAATTACCGCACACCCCAGAAACCCCGCTCCCACCGGTAAGCCCGGAAGAACCGAACGCAGGGACGCAGACCCCCGTGTGCAGCGTTATTCCTGGCAGCCCAAGGTGGTTACAACGGCAAACTGTGCAGCATAGATTTTAACCACAATTTTTTTTTTTTTAAAGTTCTCATGGCACTCACTTTAAGCCCACACACATCTAGTGATGGAGTGAGTGCCCTGTCATTGGAGGAATCCAAACAGATCGCTGAACCCACTCCTGGGATGCCGCTCTGGGTGGGAGCCCGGAGGACCTCCCAAAACCACAGGCCGTAAGAACCTGTGATGTCTGACTTCCACTTTGGATCTTCCGTCCAGAAGTTTTGAACTCAGGGACCCAGCAGAGGCCAGGCAAGGAACAGAACCAGAGAAAGCAGCTGTCACTCAACTCCGGGGGTGGGAGGTCGGTGCAGCCAGAGCTTGAAGAGAGGCCAGAATTCTGGGGCTTTGTTTTTAAAGATGGAAACCGCCAAGGCTGAAGCCAGGAGCAAGGAATTCCATCCGGATCTCCCACGTGTGGGTGGCAGGGACCATCACCCGCTGCCTTCTAAGTGCATTAACAAAAAATAGGATCCAAAGCCGAGCAGCTGGGACTTGAACTGGCACCGTGATACGGGATGTCCATGTTGAAAGGGGTAGTTTAACCCACTGCCCCACAACGCCAGCCCCAAGACCTGGGTTTTTAAAAACATGGTGACAACTCATGGATATGAAACCTCCCGACTCGGCGCAGCTGGCGGCTTCCCTCGCTGGGTCCCCCACACAATGCTGGGCACCCACAGCCCCTTCATTGCCCTGGCTCTGGCCCCAACAGACGATGCCCTCTCCTGTCGTCCTCCACCAGCCTGACCCATCCTGCAGGCAGCCCTGGGCGACACCCTCCAGCCCCAGCTCCCCACCCACTCTGGCTCCTATAGCAACAGCTAGACCTGAGTCTCTCCTTCAGTGCCCTCATTTGCACAGCGAGTGTGTGTGCACACGTGTGTGTGTCTGTGGAACTCCCACTGCCCACACCTGAGCAGGCTGCACGCCCGTCTCCCCAACACCCTGCAGGGAGCCAGGTGCGCGGTGACACTTGGGAAAGACCTGTTGCCTTGCAGGGGGAGAAACTAGAGAAGGCTGAAGTTTCCCTGGTTCATGAGAACACACAGGGGTGCAGAGCGAGAGGCGCACACCCAGGCACTTAGGTGCACACGACCCTGTCTGGACACTCTCTGTGCACACTCACGGCAGGGACACCGCGAGGTGGGGGTGCACAGAAATGCTGGGAGGAGCAGGCTTCCCAGACACGGAAGTGTGGAAGAACAGGGCTGAGCCCCTCCCTCAACAAGGACAGGCTCCACCCCCGAGCCCCGGTAAAGTCATGTGGGACTGGTTCCGGGACAGGGGCTAACCCCAGGTCTGCACCACCCAGCCCTGGGCCACCTCTGCCCAGTGCTGCCATCTCTCAAGGTTCCTGCTGTTCCGCCTGTGGCGTTTCCTACCTAGAACCTTCCTTGTGTCTCTGCTGCTCCCACGCAAGGGACAGCCACTGTTTCTGGAGGTTTCCCGGGGAAATCTCTTCCCACGCTCCCCGGGCTGCCTTCGGCTCTCCCAGCCTCCCCCAGCACCTGCCTGAGCTCCTGTGTGTGTGCCACCCGCACCTGGGAGGGGGTGCCCTCTTGTGTGCCATGACAGCACACATCACCACCCATCACCCCCATAATGGAGGGGGCAGGGTCTGCCCATGACCTCTGTGTCTGTCCCATAGGCACTGTGCTTTGCCCAGGGTGTTGGTAGCAGCTCTGTTTTACCAGAGTGCAAACTGGAGCTCAGGGCACAGACATAAGCCCTGAGTCCCACACCAGGTGAGTGGCAAGGCAGGAAAGCAGACCCAGCTGTGTCTAAACCCCATGTCCGTGGCTCCTGCACACTTGAGCCTGCCAGGTCCCAACATGTTGGCCAAGGGACCAACATGCAGCAGGAAGCTTGGAGCTCACAGCTCAGGAGGGGATGCAAACCCAGCTACACACACACACACACACACACGCCCTTACACAAGTGTGCACCCTATGCATGCATCCACACACCACCACACACACCTACACACGCTCCTGTGAGTGCAAGCTCACCTACACATGCATACACATGCGCCCCAGGCATGCTTGCACACGCCTCTATACATGCACACATATCTCTGCCTGCACATCTACGTGTATGTGCAGATGACACACGCACATGCACCCCAGGCCTGCACGCACACTCCTATGCAGTGCACACATATACACACACCTATGCACACATGTACACCTGCGCCTACATGCAAGTACACACATCTGGCCACCACTTCACAACCCCGTCCTGGGCAGGTAAGCCCTCATGTTTCTAAGGAAGAGTCACCGGGTAGGACACAAGGACCCCCGTGAGACCCCTCTCCTCCTAGACCAAGACTGATAACCACCAGGCCCTGCCCACTCCCATGCCTGCAGCCTCCAGGGTCCAAGCCAGAAAGCTCTCAGGTTGCTTGACCCAACTTCCCCTTTACAGGTGACAAAGCTAAGCCGAGGTGGGGGGGAGCGTTCCATTAACCCCCAATCCAACAGGTCTACGGCAAAGACTCTCTCAAGTGCTCCCCGAATAGCCTGAAACCCATTCAGGAGTCCCGAGAAGGTGGGGACCCCAGCAGGAAGCTCCAGCGCAAGGCCCCACACCCCAGAGGGAACGCAAGGGGAACCTGGGTCCCTTCCCAGGACCTCCTGTTTGCCCTGCCTGCCTCCCGCTGTGCGGTGCTGACCTGCGGAGACCGTCCACCCAGACGGCGCTTCTGGGCCCTTAGCTTCCATGGGGCTTGGCTAACGGGGAGTCCCTCGGGGCAGGGAGGAGACCCATGGGCTGGCCGTCCCTCTCCACCAAAGCTCCCAGCCACCACACAGGTGACCCTGTCGCCCAGGCCCTCACCTTGCAGTCCCCAGACTCCCCCCATCTCCTGAGAGTCTCGCTGGATTGCCCTGACTGCCTCAGGCCCTGGGGTCCAGCACTGCCCATCCTGGGTCCCCACAGCTGCCATCGCGCTGCAAACGGTCCCCCTATTAAACACTCTTCGAGCAGCCACCTGCTTCCTGCTGGGCCCCGGATGGCTCCAGCAGGTGGACTCAGTCCCCCACCTACTGACGGGAAGCCAGGAGTGACAGGAACTTCGCCATGTCCGTGGTCACGCTAGACCTCGGGGAAGAGGCCGGCTCTCTCCTGATCCGACACCCCAGCTGCCTACAAGGAGCGGGCACCCGCTGTGAGAACCAGGCCCAAAGCTAACAACAGCCACACTCCTGTTGGCTCCTGGCCACCATCATCCCTCCCCTAAGGAATCTTTGCAGGTCCTCCTTACAATTCCCTCCTCCCTTACAATTATTTCTTAAAAAAAAAAAAAAAGATTTATTTATTTATTTGAAAGGCATAGTCACACAGAAAGAGAAAGAGTAGCAGAGAGAGAGAGAGAGAGGTCTTCCACCTGCTGGTTCACTCCCTAATTGGCCGCAACAGCTGGAGCTGCACAAATCCAAAGCCGGGAGCCAGGAGCTTCTTCTGGGTCTCCCAAGAGGGTGCAGGGGCCCAAGGATTTGGGCCATCCCTTCCTGCTTTCCCAGGCCATAGCAGAGAGCTGGATCAGAAGTGGAGCAGCCAGGACTAGAACTGGCACCCATATGGGATACCGGCACTACAGGCGGCAGCTTTACCCACTACGCCACAGCGCCGCCATCTCCCTCATGCGATTCTAACACTATTGATATACATAGACTTTCATGTATTGCATTGCGGACTGTATATGGGAAAAGATCACTTTTTTCCCTCCTCCACCCCAAAAACCAACATCTTGCCTGTGTGAGGGTGGGAACTGCAATTGCACACAACGACCCAGGCAGCTGCGCTCAGCTCCATCTTCCAGGGAAGGAAACAGTCTCGAGAAACAAAAGTCATCTCCCTTAAAAAGCTTTCCAGGGAGCCAGCGCTGTGGCAAAGCGGGTAAAGCCTCCACCTGCAGCGCCAGCATCCCATATGGACACCGGTTCGAGTCCCAGCTGCCCCTCTTCCAATCCAACTCTCTGCTATGGCCTGGGAAAGCAGTAGAAGATGGCCCGAGGCCTTGGGCCCCTGCACCTCCATGGGAGACCCAGAGAAAGCTCCTGGTTCCTGGCTTTAGATCAGTCCAGCTCCAGCCATTGTGGCCAATTGGGGAGTGAACCAGCGGATGGAAGACGTCCACCCCAGCCTCTGCCTCTCTGTAACTCTGCCTTTCAAATAGATAAATAAATAAATATTTTAAAATGTCTTCCAGGTGCAAAGCCAGCGTGGACACGAAGAACCCCTTAAACTGTCCCCCAAATCCACACTTTGGTCTTCAGAGAAGACAGCAGGGGCCTGGAGCATGAGGTGGAGCGAGGAGCCCAAGCTGGCACTAGGAGTCTGGATTCAACTTGAACTCTGCTGTGTGACTCCCGGCTGGTCCCTTTCTGTCTCTGAGCTCCTGGTTTATCATCAGTGCAGTGAGTGAGGGAAGAGGAGCCGTGGCCACCTCCACTCCCCACTCTCCATTACACAGGAAAGGGAGGCAGGGGGTGGCAGTAGTCCTGACTCTGGGGCTTCCATCGAAGTCCCCGCCCCAGCACCGCTGTCTGTGGCTTCTGACTCAGCAGTGCACCTTTTCTCACTGGAGGGGGGGGGGGGAGGGCGGGGGGGAGGAGCTTGGATCGCGGGGATCAGAGCAACACAGCCGGTGCAAGCAGACGCTCAGCGAGGTTCAGGTCACACAGCAGGAAGCTGGCACC